TATGTAAACTTTTTGAAAATATTATGTTGGCCTGTGTGGTGCCCACACCTTCAATCCCAGCACTTTGGAAGGCTGAAGTGGGCGGATCACCTGAGATCTGTGGTTCGATGTCAGACTGAACAACATGGCGAAGCCCAATCTCTACTAAAAATACAAAAATTGGCCAGGCGTGCTGGTGCATGCCTGTGATCCCAGCTACTCGGGAGGCTGAGGCAAGAGAATCGCTTGAAACCTGGGAAGTGGACGTTGAGGTGAGCCGAGATCACGGCACTGCACTCCACTTAGGCAACAAGGCTGAAACCCCACCTAAAAAAGAATAACGTTTTAAGCTCCGGGGAACACGGACAAGGGTGCAGCTTTGTTCCATAGGTAAACATGTGTCACGGTGGTTTGCTGCAGCAGTCAACCCATCACCTAGGTATTAAGGCGACCATGGTTTAGCTATTGCTCCTGATGCTCTTCCTCCCACCATTTACCCTGAGAGGTGCTGGTGTGTGATGTTCCCCTCATTGTGTCCATGTCTTCTTATCTTTCAGCTCCCACTTAGGAACGAGAACATGCAGTGTTTGGATTTCTGTTCCTGTGTTAGTTTGCCAAGAGTGAGGGTTTCCAGCTCCATCGACATCTCCGCAAAGGACATGAGATCATGTGTGAACATATTTCTCCAGGTGTTCCTAGAAAAACACAGCATACGGCTACACCAATATACATAGCACCATGATTCACAACAGCCCGAAGATGGAAGTATCCCACGTGTCCAATCCATGGATGAGCAGGTGAATGGAATGAGCTCTGTGCGCTCAGTGTAATACTATACAGACAGGAAAAGGGATGAGGCTCAAACACAGGTGGCAGTGTGGATGAACCTTGAAGACATCAGGCTCAGTGAGAGAAGGCAGGCATGAAAGGCCACACAGCGTATGACTTCATTTATCTAAAATGTCTAGAATAGGCACAGATTTCACAGAGACAGAAACTAGAACTCTGAGTGGCAGGGGCCAGAAAAGTGTAATGGGGAAGGGGTGTCTCTCTTCTATTTGTTCTTTCTCTTTGTTTGAGGCAGAGTCTCGCTCTGTCACCCAGACTGGAGTACAGTGGCTCCAGCTTGGCTCACTCCAGCCTCCATCTCTCCTTTCAGGAAATTCTCTGCCTCAGCCTCCAGAGTAGCTTGGAATTACACGTGCGTGCAACCACGCTCAGCTGATTTTGCATTTTAGTAGAGATGGTATTTCACCGTGTTGGCCAGACGGTCTTGATCTCTTGACCACCTGATCTACCTGCCTTGGCCTCCCAAAGTGCTGGGGTGACAGGCATGAGCCTCCTTGCCTGGCCTGGAAATTGGTGCTTAATGTGGACAGTTTCTGTTTGGGAAGATGGAAACATTCTGGAGGTGGATGGTGACGATGCTTG